CCTCGGCTATCACTTCCTTATGTCCGGTCGTGATGGTCAAGCGGATTAAGGCATCCCTGTACATACCAGTTGTGGGAGTATGGGTTCGAGTCACTTCTGGGGTGTGAGTTTTCAGTTGTATATAGTCCTGGGGACCATTCAGGCTTGTTTGCATTTGTGTTCCTCACGTGTGCCCCAAAGAATGAGGTGATTTGATAAAATGCTATGCCCAAGATTACCATCCGAGTGCCGGCGGGGAAGTGGTTCATATAGCCTCGGCTATCACTTCCTTATGTCCGGTCGTGATGGTCAAGCGGATTAAGGCATCCCTGTACATACCAGTTGTGGGAGTATGGGTTCGAGTCACTTCTGGGGTGTGAGTTTTCAGTTGTATATAGTCCTGGGGACCATTCAGGCTTGTTTGCATTTGTGTTCCTCACGTGTGCCCCAAAGAATGAGGTGATTTGATAAAATGCTATGCCCAAGATTACCATCCGAGTGCCGGCGGGGAAGTGGTTCATATAGCCTCGGCTATCACTTCCTTATGTCCGGTCGTGATGGTCAAGCGGATTAAGGCATCCCTGTACATACCAGTTGTGGGAGTATGGGTTCGAGTCACTTCTGGGGTGTGAGTTTTCAGTTGTATATAGTCCTGGGGACCATTCAGGCTTGTTTGCATTTGTGTTCCTCACGTGTGCCCCAAAGAATGAGGTGATTTGATAAAATGCTATGCCCAAGATTACCATCCGAGTGCCGGCGGGGAAGTGGTTCATATAGCCTCGGCTATCACTTCCTTATGTCCGGTCGTGATGGTCAAGCGGATTAAGGCATCCCTGTACATACCAGTTGTGGGAGTATGGGTTCGAGTCACTTCTGGGGTGTGAGTTTTCAGTTGTATATAGTCCTGGGGACCATTCAGGCTTGTTTGCATATATATATATATATATATAAATTGTTAAATCCGTTTCAGTATCCTCATATCAGCGAGATGGAGAAATAATAACCTAAATGTTCACATATATAGTTGGGTGTTTACACAGTGGCGGCTGTTGGTGATTCTGAACATCAAAGCTAGGCTTTAGTAAGCGATTTCCAGAAATGTTTCTTATCCCACAAGAAGATATATACGTTGCTTCGCCTGTGGTAACAATGGCATATACGATGTCTTGCGGGTGGCAACAGTGAGATATCAGGTATATATATATATATATATATATATATATATATATATATATATATATATATATATATATATATATATATATATATATATATATATATATATGTCGTACCTAGTAGCCAGAACTTTAGGTAGGGTTGTTAGGTTCGGTCACATATCTACGTTAATTTTAACTCCAATAAAAAAAAATTGACCTATATATAATGAAATCGGCAGCTTTATCATTTCATAATAAAAATATTAGAGAAAATATATTAATTACTTGGCTTATTAGGCAAATATGCATAGTATAGAAGTGAGTTATGGCTATAGGTATATATATATATATATATTACTGTTTACTTCTATACTCCGTATATATATATACATTTTTCATCACGTTAATATTCGTGATATACATATATATATATATATATATACACATATATATTCCTGTTTCACTTCTTCCTCCGTGGTCTGACACTCACATTTTTCACACGTTAACACACGTGACACACACACACACACATTATATATATTGTGTATTTTCATTCTCGTTAATATGTATCCGGGTCCTCCCAATATCAACTGCACAATGGGGTTGTTGGACATTACGGACCATGTTGGACTCACTAGAAAGAAGACGAGAGAGATATCAAATAATATACACCTGGAAGATACTGGAGGGCCAAGTACCAAATCTACACAGTAAAATAACGACGTACTGGAGTGAACGATATGGAAGAAATTGCTGAATAGAACCAGTGAAGAGCAGGGGTGCCATAGGCACAATCAGAGAACACTGTATAAACATCAGAGGTCCACGGTTGTTCAACGTCCTCCCAGCAAGCATAAGAAATATTGCCGGAACAACCGTGGACATTTTCAAGAGGAAACTAGATTTATTCCTGCAAGGAGTGCCGGATGAGCTGGGCTGTGGTGGGTATGTGAGCCTGCGGGCCGCTCCAAGCAACAGCCTGGTGGACCAAACTCTCACAAGTCAAGCCTGGCCTCGGGCCGGGCTTGGAGAGTAGAAGAACTCCCAGAACCTCATCAACCAGGTATCAACCAGGTACGACAACAGAGCTTTGTATCTAAACCCTGTTATCAGTGATTTCAGACCAAATAGCTCTGTAACTACTTCATACACTCACTATATTGGAAGATTTTCTTATGCTGTTCCCAGAGTGCTAGTGCAGGCTAATAGATCAGCCTCACATTTCATGTTTTCTCCTGATTTCATGTTTGATTAACCGTCCTGTGAGGTGGGGATTTTACATGAAATTGTAGCTAGGTTGTTGACCAGACCACACACTAGAAGGTGAAGGGACGACGACGTTTCGGTCCGTCCTGGACCATTCTCAAGTCGATTGTTTCGGTCCGTCCTGGACCATTCTTAAGTCGATTGTTTCGGTCAGTCCTGGACCATTCTCAAGTCGATTGTTTCGGTCCGTCTGGACCGAAACGTCGTCATCCCTTCACCTTCTAGTGTGTGGTCTGGTCAACATACTTTAGCCACGTTATTGTGACTCATCGCCTGCAAATTGTAGCTAGTTTTTACTCTACACTTTGAAATCTTTCATTTAGAATAGGGTAGCAACACATTGCTGTGTATACCTAAGTTTGTTAATAACAAAAATCTAACCTAGGAAAAGAAAAAACTGGCCCACCCTATTTGCGTTGTGCTGAAGTGTCGGGGTGGGCTGAGGGAGTGATAGATAACAACAGCTCAGTGTCTCGTGAACCATGATCAGGGGTATACGACGCGTTGCGCCCCCGTCCTCGTTGAAGCCTGTAGCCACCACCACCATGCCCAGTAAGTACTCTTATATTCACGTATTTTACACCAGGAATACATTATTGTATATGAAGCATCTGGCGTGGCACGATACATACAAGCAGTGGACCTTCTGGGAATGGTTTTGTTTTCCTGGTTTTGATGAATATTTTGGTATTAGCTAACAGTCTTGTGATATCTATGGCATTCGACCATCCTCATGAACTGGTCGGTACAGCAACGATCTTCCTTCTATAAAAGTCGTCGTTTGTTTGATTGTCTGTCCAAACGATTATATGTGATGCATTGTTTCACCAGTCTGTTACATCCCGTCATGATCAAGTACTGTACGTTTATTGAGGCTATAAATTACATCTCAAAAGGATAGGGTAGCTTAGGCTATTTCTACTCCCTCCCCCCCCCCACATACATTCCTTCACAGAGCTATACAGTACAGCTATAAGGTACTGTCCGAGTAAGTACCTAGTATCAGCACTTATACCATGCATGGTGCAATGTATACCCCCCTCCCCCTCCCTGCCTCGCTAGTGGGAGACATGTGTCCCCCAACCTCCACAACCCCCCAACCCCCACAACCCCCCAACCCCCGCTTCCTGATAGACGAGCCAAGGGAGAGCAGGTTCCTCTCCTCCCTCTCTCCCGCATGCACTCTCCCTTCAACCTCCCTAGGGGGGAAAAGGACCCCCATCGGGCTAAAATATGATGTACTATAAACCATAGCGGCTCACAAAGTTGACGGGCTGTCACTTTTTCTAATAATAATAATAAATTTATTTATAAGAATGTGTGTACAATGAACATAAGACAAGGGACAAGTGTAGGTGCAGGAGTTACACATACAAATGAAACTATTACTAAGCAAAGAGTTTCTGGCAAAACTTTGAATAATTTAGATGATAAAAATTCTTTATATGTATAAAGGGTAAACACAGTATGCAGCTACAGCATGGAGTCCATACCTTGTCAAGCACAAGACGGAGACAAAAGAGTTAGAGGGAGACATGATCACCAAATACAAACTTCTCAGGGGAATTGACATGGTAGATAAAGACAGATTATTTAGCACGGGTAATACTCGTACAAGGGGGACACAGGTGGAAACTGAGTACCCAAATGAGCCACAGAGATATTAGAAAGAACTTTTTCAGCGTCAAAGTAGTTAATACATGGAATGCATTAGGAAGTGATGTGGTGGAGGCTGACTCCATACACAGTTTCAAATGTGGATATGATAGAGCTCAGTAAACACAGGAACCTGTACACCAGTAGCTTGACAGTTGGGAGGCGAGACCAAAGAGTCCAAGCTCAACCCCCACAAGCACAGTTAGGTGAGTACAGTACAAAATGTGAAGTAAGTTAACATGTATGATGTTGATGAGATATAACAATATGCAATAAAAAAGGTGATTCTTGAAGATGTCAGGCATGTTCGACTACATTACAGAATGTGTAGTTTTAGCAACAACACAGAAGTGTCGAACCTTAACAGTAAGGATATACAAAGGTGCATTTTAGTCAAGTCACTAGAACATAACATAGACAACATCAGTAAAATTTAAAGGTTAATGGGGTAAACAATAATAAACAAGAAGATAACATATATGTTATACTCAAATTGTATGTCCGTTGAGACATAACCAATCACAGGCGAGTAGGCCTCTGACGTCATGCCAGATAGACAGTCACCAAGCTGAATAAGCAATTAAAAAATACATTAATTAGATGACACCTAAAGATACTTATTGATGAAAGAAATAAGATGACACCTAATGATACATATTGATGAAAGAATGCATTTTCAGTAAATTAAATACAGTTTCTCATTTACCTTAACACTTTCGGCCGGTAGGGACGGATATTGTGTCCTTAAATAACTCTACGGATGTCCGGCGGGAACGTAAGTTGCGTCCAAATTTAAAATATTTGTTAAAATTCCATTTTTCCGATCATTATAGGACGTATTTCAAAATGTGCGCCAACGTCTTCCCATTTTCTGTGTTGGCCCGCGTGGCATCACGGCACTTCCTCACACACGGTTGCCCTATTGTTATGGTGTCTATGCTCGTGACCGCTGCGGCCTCCCCTCCAAGATGGATAGTGATCAAGAACAGAGACATTCCAGGATGAAAGCAGTGAAAGAAACACGTCTGAAGGGGAAGAAGCTAAGGCGTAGTCGCCAAAAGTACAGAAAAGAAAAATTCTCGGCAACAAATTTCCAGGCTTTAGATGAAGAATTTTCTGATCTTGATCTTCAAAGTGCCGAACGTGACAGTGATGTAGACAGTGAGGTGGTTGAAACTGTAACAGCAGGTAAGGATGAAACTGTAAGTGAGGAGAGTGATGATACCGCCACACGTGCAGGGCCTGCTATTAGAACTCGTACAGGACTTAGCGCACGTACCCCATGCACCAGTTCTGGTGAAGCCTCCTTTGGGATTTTTAGTTATTTATTACGCGAGATTTACTGTAATTTATGGTATATGAAACAAACTTGTATGCAACACAAAGCGTATCCAATGCGTCTAACAACTCAAACAATACGTGGGATGAAGTGAGTGTAAAAGAGCTTGCCAGATATTTGGGACTGACAATGTTGATGAGCATTGTGAAGATGCCAATGATGAGAATGAACTGGCAAATAGGTAAATTATTGCATGTACCTTCTCTCAATACTTTTATGACTGCGAGACGATATGAATTGATTGCAAAGTATTTTCATACTCATAATGCCATTCCCGAAGACAATCAAGACAGACTTGTCTTGTTGGGCTTGAAACTATTGTTCTTTGTTCGTGTTACAACTGACCTTTTGAAGAAGTGGTCTGAATCAATATCTTCCAAATTGTTCAGTATTTTAAGTTTCGATGAATGTCTGGTATGCAATGTTATTAGCCCTGTGACCCTTAAAGGTTCCTGGTATGAGTCGACTTAGTTTAGGAATGTTTTTGTTGCCCGGTATTGAACTTTCTCCACAGCAGCTATGTCTTTCTGAAGACGAGGTCTCTATGCTTGGGTACAATAATCCAAGTGGGAGCGCATAGATGTGTAGTTGTATATAACTACTTATAACTACTTTCCTTAATTAAAGTCAAAGTTTCGTTTGACTATTCCTAGATTGTAACTTGCTTAGCTAAATGAATTGTGGGGTTCAGTCCCTGAGCCCATTATGTGCCTCTGTAACCCTTTCCACTACCGCCCACAAGATGGGTATGGGGGTGCATAATAAATGAACTAAACAAACATATTCCTAGGATTTTTGTTTACTGCAGCTCCCATACACTTGCTGTGCAAATTCCAGTTATTGGTGAATTCTGACTCCAAGGTCCCTTTCTTCATCAATCTGGTGCAAGGTAATGTTGTTAGTAGTTGTGATGTGCAGTGGTATGCACCACATGCAAGGACTTGCATTTTTCGGTATTGAAAAACATTTTCCCAGTCTTCGGGCCACTTGCTGAGTTCATGTAGATCCCTATGTAAGGCCTCAGTATCACTATCACTTCCTACTTTACCATAAATCTTAATGGCATCTGCCCGTCTAGTATCACAAAATTTCTTTAGAGTCAGTGCGAAAGATTTAACCTGATTGCGTTCTTCTCTGAACATTGAAAGAGGAGGTAAACTGCCATAAAAAATTTGTATAGACACTTTCTAGAGTTCCAAATACCTCACCAGATATTTCATCCGACATGGTGCTTGTGCCGTCGTAAGACTGACCGTAATACGTAGTTATGACAGCCCTAAGTTTTTGATTGATGGAAGAAGAATGTTGATAATATCTTCAGCCCTTGCTCCAGGTAATTCACTGAATCCTATAAAAATAGTTCTACTGCATCATGGGGAACTGTTACATATCGTAAGGATAAAGAAAATGAATGAATTCTGCTGATGTCAATAGCAGGGTCAATAAATATTGCAAAGTATTTAGCCATCGTCCACTCAGGCCCTGACGGTTGAGTGGACAGCGCTCGGGATTCGTAGTCCTAAGGTTCCAGGTTCGATCCCCGGCGGAGGCGGAAACAAATGGGCAGAGTTTTTTTCACCCTGGTGCCCCTGTTCACCTAGCAGTAAATAGGTACCTAGGAATTAGACTGCTGCTACGGGCTGCTTCCTGGGGATGTGTAACAAAAAGGAGGCCTGGTCGAGGACCGGGCAGCGGGGACGCTAAACCCCGAAAACATCTTAAGATAACCTCAAGATAACCTTGTTTTCCCCTGTTATCTTTGATAAAACCTGGACTGATAATGAGTATATCGGGTCCTCTTCTATGACGGCTAAGATGTGTTGCATTTTGGTCGCCCGGTAGTAAATGTTGCTCTAGTAATGTATAATTTTTGGCAAGCACCTTAATAAGTTATAAAAATTGCTTTCATTTGTACTTGGGAAATCTGAACTTTGAACTAAAGAGTTAAATAAAACTGAAAAGGCTGCACTGTTGACAAAATTGTTGGAAGGGAGCGATCGCTTCCCTCGCTCCTGCCAACTATAGATACGCTACTGCCTGTTATCAAAGATTTCAGACCAAATGATACGAGGTACTCTGACCTCTATAACTACATCATACACTCACGAATATTGGAATATATCCTTGTGCTCTACCCAGAGTTTGCTAGTGCAGGCTAATAGCTCCCGAGCCACCCATATACGTGAAAAGGTACTACGTGGGATGCTAGTGTTTTTCCTGCCCGAAACGCTTTGCGTAATACTGGCTTTAGGCATTGTATGTACTAGCTCTATCTCTAAATCCATCAACTTTTGTATCTTACCTTGTATGTATGTACTTTACTTGAATAAAAATTTGTATTTGTATTTGTATGTACTGCTGAGGACGATTTACAATGTAACATATACTATTTTCGGTGATATTATTCAGAAAATATTGTTTTTTTAGGTTTATTTAATATAGTCTTGGTTATAACAGTCGGATATGTTGGAAAATTATATGATGTGTCGTGTCCTCTTACAAAGAACGTCGCATTTCGATCGTATGCGTTACATAAGGCCAAAAGTTGTACTAGAAAGCAGAAGCGGCTGGCTAAAGTGACGTACTGTCCCGTTTTCCGTTTTGGGTCCTCTGGTAGGTTAGGAGAGGACACTTTAAATTTACTGTTTTCTTGTCGTTTGGAAACCTTAGGAAGATGGGCTGAGCTGAGACAAGGATGCTTGTGCAAGGCCTTGAGAGCTTGAGCGAAGGGAGGGGGGGATGTTGAGCAGTCCGTCCTCCTAATGTTTCCCAACGTCAAGAAACTGTGGTACTAAAGTGCCCTTATCCTAACCTACAAGAGGATGTAGCGAGTAGATTATCCCAATAATATACTCGCTCCAAATATAGTGTTAATATTCCTGTCAACCTTTGGAGATGAATATACAGTATGTAAATTTCGCGAACCGCTAGCATGTTCTAGTATACGCCTTAGGTAAAGTATACGTCAAAATGCGACGTTCTATTAGGAGAACAGGTTAGGTAGAGAGCTCGAAGTAGGGCGAGAGCGCGAAAATCGAATGCTAGCGGGATCGGGAAGCTCGATGCGGGTAGCTGGGGTATGACCAGAACATGTCTGCTCTGTAGCGTCTTGTGAGAGAGTTACATCGCATGCTGGTGAATGTCGGTGGTGCTGCAGGAGATCCGCAGTGTATCCAGTTGTCACTGAACCACTACTGGAGTTAGACTGGCGATGCTACGTTGTTGTTTTAGATTCAGCTACTCTGAACAAAAAGTTCCAAGTAGCACGGGCTATGGTGAGCCCGTAAGTGGAGGTTCTTTGGAGCTATTATCTGTATCAATAGGAGGTAGAACAGCTTATTGACAGAGAACGAGTGCATGGGGGAATTGTGTACAACCCTGGTTTGTGTCTCGGAGAGAATGCAGGATCCGTGTGAGGCTAGTGGAACTCCCTGTTGCAATTCTTTTACCATGCCGTGGCCTAGTCGATTAAGACAGCGTCTGGGATCCTCTCAGACGTAGGTTCGAACCCTTATCACGGCCCTCGTGGATTTGTTCATTTGATGCATCACGCTATTGTGATTTCTGTGTGTAGTGTACTAACTACTTCCCTCTGATGCCGGTGCCTTAAGCGAATATCTATAATTTAGCTCCTACATTATTCTTCGAACTGTCACTTGTGTTACCCGAAATATACTCTCACGAACTCCAAATATGGAGTTGATGTACAAGGGAAGGGAACTATCAGGAGAAACCGCCAAGCCATTACGACTATATAGCACTTGGAAGGGGTCGGGATAAGGATTTGGGATGGGATGGAGGGGGGGGGAAAGGAATGGTTCCCAACTACTTGGACGGTCGGGGATTGAACGCCGACCTGCATGAAGCAAGACCGTCGCTCTACCATCCAACCCAAGTGGTTGGTTAGTTGATGTACAGGTATCTATTAAAATACTAATAGGTACAGTGTAGCGAAATTTGAGGATTATTAATGGGTACATTGTAGCAAAATTTGCGTTCAACATAATAATTACGATATAAGTTGATGGCAGTTTTTTTTATTAACAAGCTTAGGTATACACAGTAATGTGCTCCTGCCCTATTCTATATGAAAGATTACACCGTGTAGATAAAAATCTAGCTACAACCTCATCCAACATCCCCACCTCACAGGACGGTCAGTCATACATGGAATCAGGAGAGAACGTGAAATGTAAAGCTGATCTATTAGCCTCCACTAGCACACTCTGGGAATAGCACAAGAATATCTTCCAATATTCCTGAGTGTATGAAGTAATTACAGAAACACCTCATATCATTTGGTCAAAAATCTACTTACCAAGGTTAATTCATAAGGTTAAGTTACTCAATATTGAGGTTCAAGTTATTGTATTGACCAACATTCAGTTTATCAAATTTCTTTAACAAGCTTCAACATCTTTGAATCACCGAGACGAAAACGAACAATTTTGTCTCGGGGAGGCATCTCTGGCAGAGGCAGCATGAGGCAAGGGAGGACTGCCTGTCCTCTCATCATAGTGAGTTCAACCACTTTTGGCAGTTATAGTGTTTGATATTACCAAACACTGCATGGTCACTTATAATCTCCATACTAACTGTACTTTCTCAGAGTTGACTAAACTCCGAGGAAAGTACATTTTAGGCTAATGGTTGGACCTTCGACAAGCCGCCGGCTTCCTGTCCTCGTCGAAGGGTCCGGGTTCGATCCCCGGCGGAGGCGGAAACAAATGGGCAGAGTTTCTTTCGCCTTGATGCTTCTGTTCACCTAGCAGTAAATAGGTACCTGGGAGTTAGAGAGCTGCTACGGGCTGCTTCCTGGGGATGTGTGTGAGGTAAAATTAGGATTAAG